TGTTCTATCAGTACAGCTGAGAAGAACAAAGGAGGCGAGAATGAAAGCTCAAGTTGCCTGTAAGCAAGCTTTGGCTCTGAGCTCCATATGTTCATACCCTTTCTTGCATCAAACCATGTCCTTTTCCATTGCTTCAGTTATGAAGAGGGATTCTCTGTCTCGTAGAGCCCTTAGCTGAGCTACAGATTCATCACTAGAAAGCAATATGCAATAGTTCATAGACTCAAGATAGGACTTCTCTGAACTGTCACTTTCAAGATGAGCTGTGGACAGACTGTGCTTCAGTACAAGCAGTTCAGGACAAAAATACAGGACAAATCCACCACTCATCCGAGGTGATTCCAAGCTCAGCCTATGTGACATGAAAGCACAAAAAAAAACCCAAGGTAGAAACCTGCCTTTTCAGTGCTCGTTTGCTCATTGTTTTTCTTGTTAAGGAGGAGAGCTGGAGATGGATGACTGCCTGGAGACATTGAAAGATGAGGAGGAAGCTTTGTGGGAGAACGTAGAATGCAACCGCCACATGCTGAGCCGCTACATCAATCCAGCCAAACTGACCCCATACCTGCGGCAGTGTAAAGTAATTGATGAGCAAGATGAGGATGAAGTACTCAACTCACTTATGCTGCCCTCCAAAATTAACCGAGCAGGTAATTATTTTGTGAATAGCTACATTTGCACCCTGTCTGAACAGTGTTATTCTGCTGAAACTAAGGAGGAGTGTCTATCAAATTAGAGGTTATGATGGAGAAACCTCTATCTCATTTACATGAGATTTAGTGTAAAGGCGGGGATCTGCAGCTGCAAAAAAGAGCTGTTTTTTAACAACCATTCTTCCAGTGTTGTGCATGCTGGAATTCAGTGAGCTCACATTCCCACCACAGCCCTGGCAAACATTTCAGTTAAAACAAGTGACAGCTACTGCCATTCCTGGAGCGGGCTCTCAGCTGTCCTGCGGTGCGCCGTGGTTTGCTGCTGAAGGCTCTGCCATCCTGGTGCTTCAGCATTTCCTGGTAGGGGTTGCACTGAGGACTGTCTTTTGAGATTTCTGTTCCAGAGACCCATTTGCTTGCAGTCCACTGGAATAACAATCAGCACAGACATAAAGGATACGTGGCATTACTTTATGAGTTCCCCTGAACTCAATTAATCAGCTGTTTTTTCCACAGTGCATTGCTGTGGCAGACACAAATCTTAAACAGGTTTAACTTCTGGGATGCAGTACTTGCTTACACTACTCATAGTGCTTTTGTTTTATGTCATCTCTCTTCTCTGTGGGCTCCGCTTAGGCCGACTGCTGGACATTCTTCACACCAAGGGCCAAAGAGGCTACGTAGTTTTCTTGGAGAGCCTGGAGTTTTACTATCCTGAACTCTACAAACTGGTGACAGGGAAAGAGCCAACACGGAGATTTTCCACTATTGTTGGTGAGTAGAATTGGTCTCAAAGGAGCCTGATGAAATAAGGACTACATTGAAGACTGGGTTTAATTATTTTTCATATGAGAAATGGTGATAACAGCTATTCTTCTAGTAGCATTCTGCATTGCTCTGTAGAAGACTTCAGTTTTTCAGTCCCCTTTAGGTGAAAAAGGATAGCAGAAGATACATAGAAAAAGTATAAAGAAAAGGTATAAGGAAAAGAAACAGCCCAGTTGTCTGAGTGAGGCTGAAGAGCTTCTAATGGAATGATAGTTATTACAAGAAACCTCAAGAGAAGAAACACTGACAACTTACATTGATGATCTACACATGTGCAATAAGTTAGAAGCATTCAGGTTAATTGTAAATGTTCAGGTTCATTTTACAAGGTCTGTGTTATTTTTCTCAAGCTTGTAGTTCAGCTGAAGCAACGAGACACATACAAAGCCTTCATGCCCTACCTATAAAATATGCCTTTATACTGTGATAATGGAAGTGGCATGCTGTGTAATATTGGCACTGTTCCCAGTTAAATATGTAAGAGTGTGTGTGTACATGTGCATAATCTACCCTTCTGTACCTACTCTGGGATATTTGTTTCTTACTCTGTTCTGCTGAATCCTACTCTAGTATTTACTTACTCTATTAGAAGTTGATAAGCTGTTCAAATGTTTTCAGTGGAGGAGGGACATGAAGGCCTTACCCATTTCCTAATGAATGAGATCATTAAGCTTCAGCAGCAAGTAAAGGCAAAAGATGTGCAGCGCTGTGAACTCTTGGCTAAGTCTCGGCAGTTGGAGGATGAGAGAAGGCAACTAAAATTGAACAAGATGGAGCTGGTGACCTTCCAGGACAGATACAACAAGATGAAGGAGGAAAGGAACAACTACAATGATGAGCTGGTCAAGGTGAAGGATGAAAACTACAATCTGGCCATGAGATATGCTCAGCTGAGTGAAGAGAAAAATATGGCTGTGATGAGGAGCCGAGACCTCCAGTTAGAGGTGAGAGAAGTGCTCTAGGATGCTTTAATTAGAAAGCAGCAATGGAGGATGCCAGTGGCAGCTTGCAAAAATGAGCCCTTCCCTCACAGTAGTAAGTACGGTGTGGAGCTTTCATTTATTTTGCTCATCCAGGTGATTAAAGGTTTGACTTTACAGAAATGCCCACTGCAGCAATGTCATATTGGTTTGTTACTGCTTGCAGCTGCCAGTCTCAGGCGTTACCAGGCGAAGTCCCTGGGCATCTCCTGACATTCATCTCCATTTCTCTCTCTGGTCTCCACAGCCTTTCCACAATTTCAGGGTCTTGCCTCTATCCAAGATATTCATCATCTTCTTTCTAGGACATCTTTTTTTTTTTTTCCCAGAGATCATTTCTTTCTAGGAAATCTTTCTGAAGTTACCTTTGCCTTCCAGAACCCCAAACCTTCAGTTTTTGCAGTTCAAATAGTCGATGTGCAGAATCAGAACCCATGATCAGCCTCATAAGTAGCAGTGTCTCATGTCTATTTATTAATTGGAAGATTCAGGATGTGTTATCAAAATTTACAGCCAACCTATATCAGTTGTAACTAGCAAGTAGCAGACTTCTGCTTAAGCATTCAGAAATTCAATTTTGGACGCTTATGCCCCCACACACCCAATTTTCTGCTAGATGTTAGCAGTAACAATTTAAGCCTTTTTTCCTTAAGTATTCCTTGCCTCAGCTAAGAATTATTTTTTTGCTTTCCCATTTCTCCTTTTCACTGCTCCCTGGCTGTTCTAGATTGACCAGCTGAAGCATCGCTTGAACAAAGTGGAAGAGGAATGCAAGCTGGAGAGAAACCAGTCACTGAAGCTGAAGAACGATATTGAAAACCGGCCCAAAAAGGAACAGGTGCTGGAGCTGGAGAGGGAGAATGTGATGATGAAGACAAAAATCCAGGAGTTACAGTCCATTATCCAGGTATAAATGCAATCACTGCGTTTAAAATTCAAAATGCCAGACATTTGAACTTACCCCTCCTGCTTACCCCCATGATGGATCCAGCAGGCTGGAGTACCCCTTTCCTCCAGGCACCCCCACATCTCCTCCCATGCAGTCTCACATACCCCGTGTCCCTCACAGCCTTCCTTGGCTGTCACACTGAAGGGGCTAAGTGTGTGGACGAGGCTGTGAGAGTGAGACAGAGAAGCAGCAGATGGTGACAGCTCTCACATACTTTCAATAGGTGACAGGAAGTTCAGTCCATAATTGAGAAACTGATGATTGTATGAACAAGAGGAGGTAGCATGGTCTCTACTACCACTCCTCACCTCAAACTCAATAAATGCTCCTGTTATAATATTGGGAAGTGTAGAGGGAAACCTCCACCTCCAAAGCTACAGTGAGCATAAGTGCAAAGTTTCAATCAACAGAAGGATGTGTAGCTGCCAGCTGCCTGTATCACTCCTTATACAGACACATGCAGAAGGAGGAATGGTACAAAAAAAATGCCATCTAATAAATGAAGCTGTACATGAGAACTGGCTCTTTCAAGATGCTAAGTGCATCTGTTTCATTGCTGATCATTGAATTCCACATCTTAGGCCCACTGTAGTTCATTGTACCAGCGTGTCACTACAAAACTGCCTTAAATAGGCAACCTAGACATTTCTGACAGTGAGTGTATGTCCCCTGTTTTGTACTAGTGTTGTATCTGTGCCAAAAGGTCTTGGTGAAGAAGAGAGTAAGAAAGGTTTCTTGTGTGGTCCCTGGTTACCAGAACGCCCTATAGAAGATTGCTGTAGCTTGTACAAGTTTCTCAAGTAACTTTTGTTTGGGTAGATGGGAAAAAAACAGGCTAACTGATAGCTAATTTAGCACTGTGTTACACTGTGAAGAGCAGAGCCGGATATTAGGATGTGCATGAGAATCTTCAGCACTTGGCTGGAAAAGGTTTGTGTCCTTTTAAAGTGACACTTTAAAAAGATTTCCAATATATGTGCATTTCAGAATAAGGTGGTGACCTCTAATGGAGCTTAACATTTCTTAGTCCTAATAAAATCCAATTCAAAGGTTGAAAAAGGGTGTGGTATAGATGGTTTTAATTCATTTAGAATCTCTTATGTTAACAGAAAAAGTCTTATGATGTCTAAAGAAGCAGAGAAGTAATCTAAAAATATTGACAAATAGCATTGAATTAGTATTCTCCTAAGTGAAAATATAAGTTTTTTTAAAAGGCATTCTTTCCTTAGAAATACGTACATTACTGGGAAGGAAAATGTCAATGAAATCTCCAACTTAATCTGTGTATTTTTAAATGCATTTCATTGCTTGCACTTTGTGTCTTTTTCATCGTACATTTATTGTTATTTTTGGATGACAATTTATATGTTGGAATCTGCTCCAATAACCTTGTTAATTTTAAGTCTGAAAGAAAAAACATTTCTGGACACTATGGAAAATGAAGCAGTGGTACGAGCTACCCTAGGCGTATTTAATATTCACGGAGCATGGCCCCGTAAAGCCTATGCATTCTTGAAATTTCCTCTGAATGTTTTCGTAGGTCTTGCTCTTTGGTAAAGGGTGAACTTTGCGCTCAGTGTGAACTAATTAATAAAGAAGAGTTTCGAATGCAGGGCTTGGACTGAAGAATTCTCACTGCATCCCAAAGGGATTGAATTACATATAGCGCAAAAAAAAAGTAAAGCATTTCCTTCATAAGACCATTCTGTTATCAAGACAGGCTTTTTCCACCTTTTCTGACTTTATTTTAAAATACTAACAAATGTCCATCTCTTCTGCTTTTCCATTGAAAGACCATGTTCATTTTTTGTTCCTCTTGTATGTTCTTGTCTTTGTTTCTTTCTCCCCTACAATGTTCTGTTTTCTTTCCCTGGATTCTCTCTTAAAAACTTCTTGCCTCAGGCTGACAAACGGAGTTTGCCAGATTCAGACAAAGCCATTTTGGATATTCTGGAACATGACCGTAAGGAGGCACTAGAAGATCGTCATGAGTTGGTCAACAAGATATTTAATCTCCAAGAGGAGATTCGTCATGTGGAGGACTTGAGAGATAAGGTGAGAAATGAAAGGATAGTTCCTAAAAACTAGTGCCCAAAAGATTTCTGAGCGCAGTGATGGTTTACAGTGTGTGTCATTTACAGTATC